GAGCTTCATCCGATGTCAGCACCTTGGCCATTAGTTGCTTGGGGTATGGATGTCATTGGGCCGATCGAGCCGAAAGCTTCGAATGGGCATAGATTCATATTGGTGGCAATTGACTATTTTACAAAATGGGTTGAGGCCATCACTCTCAAGTCGGTCTCCAAGAAAGTTGTGGTAGACTTTGTGCACTCCAATCTCATTTGCCGCTTTGGCATTCCTACAACTATCATTACCGACAATGCTGTGAACTTGAACAGTCGTCTAATGGGAGAGGTATGCGAACAATTCAAGATAACGCATAGAAACTCTACTCCCTATCGGCCAAAAGCCAATGGTGCCGTTGAAGCAGCAAATAAGAACATCAAGAAGATTTTGAGAAAGATGATACAAAGCTCCCGGCAATGGCATGAAAAGCTGCCCTTTGCATTATTCGGGTATCGTACCACAGTCTGTACATCAATCGGAGCGACCCCGTACTTATTGGTTTACGGAACTGAAGCTGTCATACCTGCAGAAGTAGAAATTCCTTCACTCCGGATAATTGTTGAAGCGGAGATTGAGGACAGTGAGTGGGTTAAGACCCGGCTAGAGCAGTTGTCATTAATTGATGAAAAACGGATGGCCGCAGTTTGTCACGGGCAGTTATACCAATAAAGAATGGCACGCGCTTATAACAAGAAAGTGCGTCCCAGGAATTTTGAAGTGGGACAGCTTGTGCTCAGACGCATTCTCCCTCATCACTAGGAAGCAAAAGGAAAGTTTGCCCCCTAATTGGAAAGGTCCATACATAATTCGAAAGATATTGCCAAGAGGAGCACTGTATCTGGGAGATATCGAAGGAAATGACCGTGAAACAGTAGTCAATGCAGATGCAGTCAAAAGGTACTATGTCTAGGCCTCCTGCGATGATGACTTTTGTGCAATTGAGATGACGAAGGCTTTTCTTCTCGCTATCCAAACACTATTAACCCTTCGTAAACCCATTTGAGCCGGTTACCTTTCTTTGGCTACCCTCTTTGGAACCCGGAAGTATTATCGGAAAAAAAAATGAAAAGAAAAAGAAGAAAAAGAAAATATGATGAAAAGAAAAAAAAAGAAAAGAAAAGAAAACATATGATGAAAAGAAAAAGGAAAAGAAAAAAAAAACAAAAACAACAAAATCAAATGTTTTGCCTGAACTACGTTTGACTTGATTCCGAAAGGATACGTAGGCAGCCTCTCGCTGAGGTTCAGTCACACCAAAACAAAAATCCCAATTTCCCCAAAAGATGAAACTGGGGCAGATGATATAATGGTTCGGCCATGAATCCGCCAAAATGGTTCCAAAGTTGTAGTTCCGCCCAAAATCCTTTTTACCCCAAAACCTTGTCCAATTCCTTCCGATCAATTGACAAAGGCATGGAAGTGGAAAACGTCATTGTTGGAATCTGATACAATTCAAATTGAGAGAAATAAAATGAGATAGTCTTATCGGTGAAAACCTTCGGGCACCATAAGACGATGGTAAGTAGAGAAACTAAAAATGAGAGAGTCCGCTTAGTGAAAACTCGCAAAGAGCACTATCGGGCGACGGTGAGAAGAGAAATGAGAGAGGTCGATTGGCGAAACCCCACAAAAGGCGCTGTCGGCCGAAAAGAAGACATCTCATCACTGAAAGAGTCCTGGCAAGGTTCCTTGATTTTGAAATGCGAAACAATGGAAGTTGGAAAGTTTGTGTGGGTCGGGCGTCCAGTCCAAGAAGCATGTCATGTTCATTTGAAGCCAGCAAGCACCCCAGATGAGTCCTTCTTTTCCCCCGAAAGGGACGCTTCTCTTTAAACTCATATGCTTGCCTTTTGCATACTTTTTCTTTGAATCCCTTTCGGTTTAGCTCTGATTCCGTAACTATTACAAAGAAAAGGTGGCAGGACCGGCTTCACAAGGTTTCGCCTGGTCCGAGTCGAAGAAAATGCCCAGCCTCAGCGAGTGCGTCAGGCCAATCCCGACTGACCATAGTGGTTGATGCTTTTGAAGCAAAGACATTGGAAGAGAAAGAAAATCAAAGACAAGGGCAGAATAAAGTGAAAAGGCCAGAGCCCACACGGGCGAGTCATAATGAAATCCTGAGAGTTGAACCCGGTCGGTTTGAAAAGAGATTCGCCCTTAAAGCCAACAAGCAGCAAAGTTCTCAACAGAAAGGGGGCCGGGATCAAGCGATTGGGATGATCAAGGCCACAAAACCAACCACCGTTTCAAACTAATAAATTGTTCTTTGTTGGAAACAGGTCTTATTCAGAGCAACCGTGCAAGAAGCAGGTGCAACTCAAAAGAAATGAAATGCGCAAGCGCTGAAACAGCTTTGCAGCAGGAAAACAACCAAAAAGGAAGGCCCCCCCCCCCCCCCCAAATTCTTTCATGCGTTTTGCTAAATAAAAAGGAAAACATATAAAGAAAAAAAATGAAATGAAAATCCCAAAAGAAAAACAAATCATGGTAGCATAGGATCCCATTCCTTAAATCTCTCGGCCAAAAAACCGAGGATCTCCCGGCCAAAAAACCGAGGAGCTTTTTCTTTCCAAATCCCGGCCAAAAAACCGAGGATCTCCCGGCCAAAAAACCGAGGAGCTTTTTCTTCCCAAATCCCGGCCAAAAACCGAGGGTCTCCCTACACAATCCTGATTTGATTGCTTAGATATGTGTCACAACTAAATCACGAAATTTTCCTAGTGAAAACTGGGGCAAAAAAATTTCGTTCGTTTGTTTTGGTATCTTACGCAGTTCGATCTCAAGACACAAGGTGCAAGATGACCAATGGAATGAGTCTCAATCCAGAATAAAGAAAAGAACAAAAAGAAATGAACTCAAAAGTGAAGCAAGCAAGGGTGCGGAATTCTCAAAATCTGATTGAAGTCACAAGCTCCGCTGATCCTGTTTTTGACCCAATGCTGCATGAAGAAGTAAACACCTACAACTTGCGAGCATCAAGATTCAGATCGAAGTCCACAGCCAAATCAGCTCAGACTCAAGATCAAGCTTCAAGAGAATTATAGATAGGAATCTTATAACTCATAGTTGATAGGCATAGCTAGTTTAGCTTTGATTTTCCTTTTGGTGTAATAAGGAGGTCAACAAGCAGCAGCAACAACAGCAGTGAAATTCACAGCTCCTGGTAGTCCCAGCTACCAAATCTTCCAGAACTACACTGACCTAATTCCTTTATAGCCAAGGATATGTAGGCAACCTTTGAAGCAGGGTTCAGTCAGACGGTTTTCAAAATGCTTCTCCTGGAGTGCCGAGCAGGCAAAAATCCCTCATATTGCTCATTTATCTTTGCCCGAAAACCCTTCGTGTCTTCGAGCAAAGAGGGGCAGCTGTGAGCACGTGATTTTTGCCGCGCTCGAATTACTCCTATAAAATTCATTAGAATTAGGATTTTTCTTTTATTATTTGAATTTTAGGAATTAATTGCGTGATTTCGTGTTTGTTTGCATTTTGTGTACATTTTTAGTTGATATAATTCATAAAAATTACAAAAAATATAGTACCTTTGCATTTAGGACTCAATTTTATATTTTTAGTTTTATTAGTTAATTAACGTCATTGAAAATAGGAGAAAATAATTAAAATAGTCCTTTATATTGTTTTACTTTCAATTTTTGATTTTTCCTTAAGTTTCCTTTTTAAATTAGGATTTGTTTAAATGTTGAGAATTAATTAGTCTAATTTTAGAATTAAACCAGGTTTTGGCTATATTTTGTACTTAATGAAATCCAAAATAAAGAAAGAAAAGAGAGGAAAGCCAACAAAAAAAAAGAAAATGGAATGAAGGAAAGGGCAATCAGGCCACCAGTCTTGGGCCACAAACTCGAGCCCAAACCCCAAATCCATGCCAAATTAGCCCAACCCGCCTCAGAAAACCCGGTCCAGCCCCCTTGTAACAAAACGACGTCGTTTAATAGGAATTAATCCTGGCCGTCGAGGATCTTTGATCCTACGGTCAGGAACTAAGGAAATTTAAATATATTAGTGTCGGATGCCTACCCCCCCCCTGTCCGTCTCTCAGAGACCCCAACACTTAAACCCTAATTCCTCACCACCTTCCGCCGCAAACCGCCACCGAAAATCATCTCCGCCGGCGGCGAAGCTCCGATCAACTCCAAATTTACACCATAGTACCTTCTCGTCCTTCCCGTCACGAATTCAACCTTTGTTTTCCCCAAATTTCTGCTGAACTGTTCGAATAACCAAATTTGTGGACGCCGCCTCCGCCGCCCACGGCGGCGCCGCCCTCCAAACCTCACCAAAAATACACCATAGCTTCCTATCCTCTTCCCCTTTCCAAATCCAAACCCCTTTTCCCTCAAATCCCGGCCAAACGTCTCAAATATTGAATCAAAGAAAGGCGGTTTACCCCTGACTCATCCAAACGACCCCAAATTCACACCCCTTGACCACCATGACCTTCTCATCTCGAATCCACAACCCATTGCCATTCGAATCTTCCCTAAGCTCCTCGAATTTTAGATCGAAATTGGACCAGGAACCCTAGTTTTGCAAATTGGGTAATTAATGGGTTCTGGGCTATAATAGCCCCTAATTATGTGTTTTCTCATGAAAACACATAATTAAGGACGATTATAGTCCAAATAATGCCAAGAAAACCTGGCAGATTCAAGTTTGAGTCAATTTGCGAGGTATTTATTTTTTCTTCTGTTTTCTGTTTGATTCATGATTCTTATTCCTGTTCCACTGTTTGTTTTTTTTTATCATTTTTAGTTTTTAACCTAAGGTTCTGATTACCATAGTGTAGTTTAAATTTTTGAATTCGATTATATGATGTATGATTTTTGATGTTGTTAATTTTACTTTAGTTTTAATTTTTACTTGTTTGCTGTTAGTTGTCAGTTTATTGTTTTAATTTTTTTAGCCTTAGGACATTAGTGTTAATTAGAGTTAAATTCCAATTTTGATTGATTAGTTCAATTTTTAGGTTTTCTATTATAATTAGATTTGTTTGGTTATAGCTGAACACTCCAGGGCTTTTAGTTAACTGTGGTCACTTTTTGATCGAGTTCAAAGGGCTGGGGATTAGTTAACATTAGTTAGTAATTCAGAACTAATTCAAGGGTAGTATAGGCTTTTAAATAAAAGGAATCTTGCATTAACAAACTAGAATATTCTAGAAGCTTCTAAAATAGGGCCTCAATTGTAGTTTCAGAAATTTAGTGGTATAACTTGGGTAACAAGTCAGTCCCTTAAGGACTTTAAGCTAAAAAACTGAAAATTAATAAGGGACTAAGGTGTAAAGGACAAAATTTGAAAGTTTCCCTAATATTTGCCTATAAAAGGCAGTATACCCTGCCTTGCAAGCTAAGTTTTGAACAATCTGAAAAATCCCCCCCCCCCCCCCAAAAAAAAGTTTTGACAATCTGAAAAATCCCCACAAAAAAAAAGTTTAGACTCTAAAAAATTCCCTAAAAACATTCCTGCTTTTAATCTTCCCTCCGAATCCCATTCTGAAGTTCTGAAGTTTAAATTTGAATTTCAAAACCTAAGGAAGTTAAAAATCTGCATTTCTATAGTTCAAATTTTCTTCTAGATCTTAATTCCTGTCAAAAATCCAAAAACATACAAAAATCCAGTAGAAAATTCTAAAAACAAATACTGTTGCCTCAAAATTTTGAGTTTGATTGCAAGCTAGTTTTCATCTGATTCCCTATTGTTTCCAGCTTCAATTTCAAGTCATTTTGGGTGTTGTTCAAGCTGTTTGGGTGTTGTATTAGCTGAAATTGGTTCTGATTTGGTGCAATATCGTTTTCCTGGGTTCCAATTAAATCCAAATTGATTCCTGCTGCTGTGAATTGCTGTCTGAACTTGCTGTTTGTTGCCAACTGCTGCTGACTACTATTTCTCCTTGTTGATTTGATACTCAGGTACACACTCGAATTTGGCTTGATGTAACTTGGAAGTGGAGATGAAATGAAAGAGATTTGATTCCTGAATTGTGTTTGCTTGGATTGTTATGTAGTAATAGCTAAATAGATATTAGAGTTTAATATGATTTGATTTTAATTCATGTGCACATGAACCCTGGGCTGTATAATCTGGATTGTTCCTGGACTATTTTAGACTGTTGTTAGACTATCCTAGACTGTTTGGACATTATTGATGAAGCGTAGTATTTAGTGATAATAAATTCAATCTGGCTGAAACTGATCGTAGAAGCTTCATGTGCTGGATTAAATGGTAACGCATAGTCATAGTCTTTAAAGTTTAGAACCAGCTTTGTTAAACATCAGTTTGAAATCCTATATTTAAATGTCATATGAACTCATAAGTAATTGTATAAAGTCCTGTTGTATCAGTTGGCATTCGATTAGTATGAAATCCTTTTGACTGAAGTTTTGACTGAAGTGTAGTAATTGTATAGTTTAAAGTAAGTAATTGTAAGTTTGAAGTGTTACCTGCTGTGTTAAAATCCAAAACTTGTTTGAATTCGATTCTGGACCTAGAAGAACAGCCCAGTTATACAAGAATCAACCCAGAATTTATGAACTGATATTTGCCCATTTGCCCATTGATGGAGTCTCGTGCAAATTGGGCTCACACTGAAGCCCAGTTGCCAGACGGCGACATTTACAAATCCTGGGCTAACGTTCAAGGCCCAAAATTGTTAAGTCCAAAAATCCTTTAAACTATATTAGGAATATGGGGATTGATTTGCAAATAAAATTTAGGTTCTCGAGTTAAGTAGCGGGTTCAAATTAGGAGGGTTTTCCCCTTTTGTTTGAATTCGGACTTGAACCCGAGACCCGAATTTATAAATATAAATTAATTAGGCCCTTTTAGAGACAAACAAATAGAAAATCTTAGCTTTCTTTAGGTTAGCCATTAAATAATAAATGGAGATGAGCCTCGCCAAACAAAATGCACAAATCGCGGGGCCCTCATTAAATGTTTAATTAATAATACTTAGAATTCGGGGCGTGCCGTTTAGCGAATTTCACGGCCTCCCGCAAAGATAATAACACGTTAGTCGTTTTAGGCGCGCTTTAAATAATTTTACCTTCCTAAATACGGGTGTGCATTTCATGAAACCCAAATCCAAATCCCAAAACGTTGAATAAGAATGTGTCGAGGATCCGGGTGCATTTCATGTGACGTGATCCAAAAATACGTTTTTAAACGACGTTCATTTTCTAAATTTTTTTTAACTAAAGGCGGTTAAATAATTCTAAAATTGCACTATAGGTTTGAACATGTATAAAATTAGATTTTAGCCAAATATAATATTTTAAGCGACCATGCTAGAACCACGGGATCCGAGGGTGCCTAACACCTTCCCTCGGGTCAACAGAATTCCTTATTCAGAATTTCTGGTTCGCAGACTCCAATTGGGAAGTCGAAAATTTTCCTCGATTTGGGATTCAAGTTAAACCGATGACTTGGGACACCAAAATTCAATCCTATCCCAAGTGGAGACTCTAAATAAATAAATAATCCCATTTCGAATAATGTCACTTTAAATGGAAAAACTCCCTTATACATTTATCCCTCAGGGTAAGTGTGTAAAAAAGAGGTGTGACAGTCGTACGATTAATCAACCTACTCTCTCCTAGCTCAACAGTCACCACATCACCCGTCTTACACTCCTCACAAATCCTCACTTCAGATTCAAGCGGATAAACTTCGCATGTCGCAACTGAATTCCTGAAGAAAATCCTCGCTTACGACTCTGCCACCACCGTCGCCACGCCCGCGGCTCCTAAAGCAACCGGGGCGTGCTCACGCGATGACCCGCACCCGAAGTTGTTGCCGCCTATGATGAGGGAGTACTTGGATGTGAATTCATCCGAGTCGACAAAACGGTTTTGGTATGATGAAGGGAGTCCGCACAACGCGTAGGACATGAGTTTTTTGTACCCGTCTAGGTTTGGCGAGACTAGGGTTAGGTATTCTGCGGGGATGATTTGGTCAGTGTCGATATTGTCCCCGACGACTTAGCAGAGGCAGTGGAATGTGGTGACGGTCGTGGTGGCGGTTTTCGTGTGGCGAAGGCGGCGGAACAACAGAGGGGTGCGACGCTGGGGTTTTGGGAGTTGGGCCAAAATGAGAAATTAAATGATGGAAAGGGTTATTGGAGAAAATTGAAGGGAGTTTAATGGAGGCGGTAATAGAGGAAGCGCGTGGTTGGCACGGAGACAGTTTGAAGGTGGTGATGGAACTGGAAAGAGTTGATGAAGCCGCCATAGAAGAAAGCTTCGGAGATTGCTAATTTTTGCTGAGAGAGTGGAGTGTGTTACAAATGTGGGCAGCACTTATTAGATATTGGGCCTTATTTTTATGGATCGGAAAAGCAGGCGAGCCGCCAGTTTAATGGACCAGTGCCGCCATTTTTAGAGTCCACCTAACCCTACTCTCTCTAACCCTATATTTATTTAATATTCTCCTCTCTTTTTTGAGTATGTGTTAAGTAGTAGTAGGACATAAGAGTATTTTATCACAAGAACTCATGTTTCAATAAACCAATATATGTAGCCAAATATTTCAAAGTCTTGTTTGAATAGCATCGTGGAATACTTTTTTCCAAAACCAAATAACCACCCTAGCAATGGTAGTAGCATAACCAAACACCAGTATAGACATTGGGAGACACTAAATGCTTTTGGTCCATCGACGGGCAATAGTGTTGAAGTTGTATATGCAGTATTTTTTCTTTCTCCTTAAAAACAAAAAGGACCCAAACCGAATCATGAACATCCCTAGCTAGCAACATAATCAGTATATAATTTATGTATACCGTCTAAGAAAAGTAACAGTGCATCCGACATAAAAGAGCGCAGGAACAAACATGTAATATGCCTAGGTCCACCTCAACATCTCATTTAACTGCTTAAGCTATGGTTGAATTTTAGTGATTATAAACTCCATTTTTGTCTTTCATGTAGGCGAGGATTATAAATACTTAATTACTTGAGAAGTTTGTTAATTCTTACAAAAAATAATAGATTTCTCTTTTTCCGGCTTTTCACTTGTAGCAATTAGCAAAGATATCAAGTATTGAACCTTCTTCAATGATCCATAACATACTGAATTTAATACAGGGACAAACCATGCAGTTCTAAGACAAGAAAAGCGACTGCTATGATGTGAAATTTTGATGCAGATACTGTACAAGTTAGCAAGGTCAATTGATTTACAATTCCAACGTCATACATGACTCCATCATTGCCACGCTAAAATCCCTGCTTATATTTACTCTATATTTGCAACTAAGATTTAAATGCTGGTCAATCCAAAAGAAAATAAAGGTGACAAAGAACGATATAGAATATTAACAGAAACAAAAAGGAAATAAGAAGACTCAAACATAAGTTAAGATTAAAGATGATACAATGACAACATATGCTATAAAGAAAAATATTGTTATCTGAAGGAAGAATTTTGGATTGTCCCTCATGTTTGGAGATGTTACCGCCCTGCAACAGAGAATCAAAACAACTGATCAATTTTCTCCAAAGCTAGAGTTTAACTGACAGGAAGGCTGTCCAATAATTCAACTAGTTCCACTTGTTGGTGCTGCTAGGACATTTACCTAGCAATGCATTGAGAAAGCCTGTGAAAAAGCATGCTTTGGACGAAGACAATACCTGGCCCCGTTAGAACAGCCATTGTCAGATTATCATTCTGTAATTGCATAAACATGGTCAGAACAACATGCCACGGAAACCAAATTACAGAGATGAACAAAGGTCTCAAGTTGGATTATTTGCATAAAAGAACTACTCAAAGCCAGAGGATCGTAGATAATAAATTACATTTCTCATTGGATAATGTTTCAATCATTAGTAGAGTGCCAAAGTAATTATGCTATTAGCATAAATGTAGACACTACATACATTGGTTATTGAATGCAATTTGGATCTCAGACATTCTAATGGAAGAAAGCACCAGAAACGTGCAGTATAACTGAAGTTCCAAAAGATCAGGATTAAGTCTAAAAAGAGGAGGATATACTTATAGGTCCACGAAACTTGCTTTCATTGTGAAGGAAAAGGAGGAAAGTCCACATGATATAAGGTGACAAAGAAAACAA